TTTTGTAAAATCCTTACAGTTTCTGAGAAAAAAATTATTGAAGTTGTAGTATTTTCAACCTTTACATCGTTGGGCTACTGTAGTCTCTAGCGTCATTCGTGTTGTGCTCTGTGCGATTCCGAATACTGATATCCGATTTTAGTGTTATCATTGTTGCGATAGTGCTTACATTAGTTTTTCAAGTGTCAAAAACGGCTTACGTGTATAACAACTCGGAGTTGATGGATATCATTTTAATTTATGATAGAGCAAGACAAAATGCTTTAGCAGCTTCTCGTCTATATGCAAACCGATTTCCCGTTAGATATGACAAAAGTTACTTTTACCGAGGTAGTGCAATGCGGCGTGACAGGGTAAATTTGTAACCAAATCTTGGAACAGATGGAGGTTCATTCAGGGCGTATTGCAGTAGCTGAGGAACACATTATAGAGATTGTTGAAGAGAATCCCCAAATGAGTACCAGGCAAATTGCTCAACAAGTATAAGGAATGTCCCAATCAACAGGTGGCATATCATACACGAGTCCCTTTCTGTTGTGAGGATATTTAAAAAAATGTGTGTATCGCACCGAAGTGGATACTATTGATGATTTACGTGAACGTATCATAGCTGCCGACAAAAATTTACGAGTTCAAAACAGACAAGAACCAAAAACTTGTGTTAGTTTGTAGAAACTGGGTAAGACGGCCTCAATTCTTTCAATTTTTTGTCCGTTCATTTTTTACTTCACTTTGCCGCTGTGCTGGTCGCTGACCGCATACTTTGCCTTGCGTAAAAGGTAAAGGTTATGAAGCTTACTAGCAATTAGGCCATGCTTGGCCCATTTTGCCTGCTAACTTACATACTACCCTCCACCTTAACAATCACAAACATTCATGGGTACGACAGAAAAATTCCTTCGAATTTTCCCGCCGCGTGCGGGATTCGAACCCACTACGGTTTTGCCGCACAGCCCTGGTTCGCCTCAGTAGGCAAGCCTTGGCCGCTTCGGCTACCGCCGCGCCCTTTGCCTTGCGTAAGTCAGTGCAGAAGTGTATTTCTAAATCATTTTCAAACTGACCTTTTTCATTTTTTTTCTACAAAATTGTAAGAGTTCCCTGTACATTCAAAAATTTTTTTTTTTTTTTTTAATAAGTAAGATGCATTAGTAGGAAAATTATCCACAAAATAATTAGTTTACCTGAACATGGACAGCGACAGCATTTTCATCGGCTCCGCTCTCCCCGCAAATCANTATCCGATTTTAGTGTTATCATTGTTGCGATAGTGCTTACATTAGTTTTTCAAGTGTCAAAAACGGCTTACGTGTATAACAACTCGGAGTTGATGGATATCATTTTAATTTATGATAGAGCAAGACAAAATGCTTTAGCAGCTTCTCGTCTATATGCAAACCGATTTCCCGTTAGATATGACAAAAGTTACTTTTACCGAGGTAGTGCAATGCGGCGTGACAGGGTAAATTTGTAACCAAATCTTGGAACAGATGGAGGTCCATTCAGGGCGTATTGCAGTAGCTGAGGAACACATTATAGAGATTGTTGAAGAGAATCCCCAAATGAGTACCAGGCAAATTGCTCAACAAGTATAAGGAATGTCCCAATCAACAGGTTGGCATATCATACACGAGTCCCTTTCTGTTGTGAGGATATTTAAAAAAATGTGTGTATCGCACCGAAGTGGATACTATTGATGATTTACGCGAACATATCATAGCTGCCGACAAAAATTTACAAGTTCAAAACGGACAAGAACCAGAAACTTGTGTTAGTTCGTAGAAACTGGGTAAGACGGCCTCAATTCTTTAAATTTTTTGTCCGTTCATTTTTTACTTCACTTTTCCGCTGTGCCGGTCGCTGACCACATACTTTGCCTTGCGTAAGTCAGGTTTTCCAGTGCCGTGCAGAAGTGTATTTCTAAATCATTTTCAAACTGACCTTTTTCATTTTTTTTCTACAAAATTGTAAGTGTTCCCTGTACATTCAAAAAAATTTTTTTTAATAAGTAGGATGCATTAGTAGGAAAATTATCCACAAAATAATTAGTTTACCTGAACATGGACAGCGACAGCATTTTCATCGGCTCCGCTCTCCCCGCAAATCATGCACCGATGCTCCGTTCCCCTAGCATGCACCTCTGCGTGGGCCAACAAATCGAGAGCCTCCTGGAAGGATTCTCCGCAGACGTTGCATATATGGCCAAACTCGTGTTCGTTCACAAACTCCTCCTTGATATGGACACGCTGGTGGCGTCTCAGATTGTCCTGCCGGTGAAAGGACAGGCCGCAGGTCGTGCAGTAGAATGTTCCATATTTGGTTTCCTCCTCCGAATAGTCCTCGTCCTCATCATCATCAAAGTCCTCCACGTCCCCGTGCTTCTGCTTGGCATGTTCACGCATCTGAACAGGGTCCCAAAACATCTCGCCGCACTTCTGGCACTCGAAAGGACTGTCGCCCTCGGCATGGACTCGGGTGTGTGAAAGCATGGCCTTCTCCCGAGCAAAACCAATGCCGCAGTGCTGGCAGACGAAGGGTTTCCTCGGATCCGTTACAGGGTACCTCATTTCGGTCTGCTCCTCGGGGATGTACTCGGTGTATTCGGCTTTGCTATTATTCTCCATCTGCTCCATCAGCTTCATGTCTTCATCTACGTAGTTGTAAGAACGGGAACTGGAAGCGACTGGTGGAGAAAATTTTATAAATATGTTTATTTTACCTTCACAATTTTATAAATAAAATAATCTCATTACACTTGGATAAATTAATCGAATACTTTTTGTTACCACTTTTACTTGAAAATAATCTTGAATGATTTCCGTAAACTAGGGAGTCATTCAAATAGAACTGTAGTTTGAAATGTATAAAATGAAACATATTTATTCGGAAAAACTTGTCCAAACCTTGGCAATTCGTTCTACAACTGTTTTAGATAATACTTCGATGACTATTTTACAAATACTTGTACAGGGCGTTTCTAAAATAGGGTTCCAAACTTCTGTTGCGTTTATAACTTATTAAAATAAGCCAAAAAGTTCCTATTAACATGTGCCCTAAAACGCACCCTTAGGAAGTTATATGCCCTTAAAAGGGCTCAAACAAATTTTTTTTTTTTTTCAAATAAATTGCAGTTATGAAGTATTCGATCATTTAATAAATAATTTAGGACATAAACTAAGACTATTTAAATTTAGAGTTACACTTACTAATTAAATAACTAATTACTACTGCAAACAATAGCTAAATGTGAAATAGAAAATAATGGGATTAAAATTTTCAAACTCAATTTATTCTAAAACCATTGGAAATATCGATTTGGACAAAGATAATATTTTTTAAGTAAAATTGTTGATTACTTCTGTGGAAAGAATTCAAGTTGACCGCCAAAAATGATAAAAAAAAGGCACAAGACCTCTTGTTAAAGTCTGCGAGCACCAAAGAAGGGATTACTGTGAAAGAAATTACTGCGGTGTGGAACAAAGAAACATATATTAACGTACTAAATCAATATTGAATTCAGTTTTTTGTGAAGATAAATGATAGTGATTCAATTTTGCATTTTCTTTGATTTAAAACAACAGTATTCCACAAATTAAGACATTGACGTGGCACAAATCGTAGCTTTATATAACGAAGGATATAGATACAATGACGTGTAAGGAGTCAATTTACAATATTGAACATTTTAAAAAGTTTTCAAGAGTTTTGCATCCAGTGAAGACAACAACTAGTGGCAGTTTTTTTATTCTTAGTTTATTCTTAGTAAGACAATTTAATGTTAATTCAAAACAGTCAGACAATGATCAAAAGAAATAGGGAACAAGAAACCAAAATGGCCAGCCACAGTTCCACGTCTTCTTCAAAATCGTAAATCTCATCGATTAGAATTTGTCAGAAAACATGTTAAGAGAAATATTGAGCATTGGAAAAATATTCTAACACATACATAAAGAGAATATTATCTCTGAAGACCAGAATACAATTATGGAATCCAAATGAATGGAACTGCATCTACAGAAGAGTTGGGGAATGTTACACCAGCTGCAATCCCATGCAGAATGTTAGGTTTGGAGTATAATGCTTTGGAGAGGTATTAGTTGAGAGAAATTTGTGATTCGTGGAAGTGATTGGACAAATAACTGACTTTAAATCAAAACAATCCTGCAAAACCATGTTTTGCTATATATTGGTTGTATGGACATGAAGGATTTGTTTGTAGTCCGTAATCAAACATTAATTTGGCCACCATATTGCCCAGACCTAAATTCAACAGAAATGTGTAGGATCGGCTAAAATGCCACGTATAACGAATAATTCCTGTTACATGAACTAGAGAAGAATAGAATATAATTCCTCAAAAATATATTCAAACTCAGTAGAGTACTTAGTAACACTGAGAAATATGTAAGTAATTAGATCTTAAAGAAGAAATACCCGTTACCAACTATGTATACTTTTTTTTAATCAAAAGCATAGTATTTGCCAACCCAAAAGCATTGCAGTCAAAGTAAATCTCCTTAATTTTTATAACAATTAGAATCAATTTTTTTACACAGGGTTCATAGTTCAAAAGTAATAAAGCCCTGGTTCGCCTCAGTAGGCAAGCCTTGGCCGCTTCGGCTACCGCCGCGCCCTTTGCCTTGCGTAAGTCAGTGCAGAAGTGTATTTCTAAATCATTTTCAAACTGACCTTTTTCATTTTTTTTCTACAAAATTGTAAGTGTTCCCTGTACATTCAAAAAAATTTTTTTTAATAAGTAGGATGCATTAGTAGGAAAATTATCCACAAAATAATTAGTTTACCTGAACATGGACAGCGACAGCATTTTCATCGGCTCCGCTCTCCCCGCAAATCATGCACCGATGCTCCGTTCCCCTAGCATGCACCTCTGCGTGGGCCAACAAATCGAGAGCCTCCTGGAAGGATTCTCCGCAGACGTTGCATATATGGCCAAACTCGTGTTCGTTCACAAACTCCTCCTTGATATGGACACGCTGGTGGCTTCTCAGTTTGTCCTGCCGGTGAAAGGACAGGCCGCAGGTCGTGCAGTAGAATGTTCCATATTTGGTTTCCTCCTCCGAATAGTCCTCGTCCTCATCATCATCAAAGTCCTCCACGTCCCCGTGCTTCTGCTTGGCATGTTCACGCATCTGAACAGGGTCCCAAAACATCTCGCCGCACTTCTGGCACTCGAAAGGACTGTCGCCCTCGGCATGGACTCGGGTGTGTGAAAGCATGGCCTTCTCTCGAGCAAAACCAATGCCACAGTGCTGGCAGACGAAGGGTTTCCTCGGATCAGTTACAGGGTACCTCGTTTCGGTCTGCTCCTCGGGGATGTACTCGGTGTATTCAGCTTTGCTATTATTCTCCATCTGCTCCATCAGCTTCATGTCTTCATCTACGTAGTTGTAAGAACGGGAACTGGAAGCGACTGGTGGAGAAAATTTTATAAATATGTTTATTTTACCTTCACAATTTTATAAATAAAATAATCTCATTACACTTGGATAAATTAATCGAATACTTTTTGTTACCACTTTTACTTGAAAATAATCTTGAATGATTTCCGTAAACTAGGGAGTCATTCAAATAGAACTGTAGTTTGAAATGTATAAAATGAAACATATTTATTCGGAAAAACTTGTCCAAACCTTGGCAATTCGTTCTACAACTGTTTTAGATAATACTTCGATGACTATTTTACAAATACTTGTACAGGGTGTTTCTAAAATAGGATTTCAAACTTCTGTTGCATTTATAACTCATTAAAATAAGCCAAAAAGTTCCTACTAATATGTGCCCTAAAACGCACCCTTAGGAAGTTATATGCCCTTAAAAGGGCTCAAACAAATTTTTTTTTTTTTTCAAATAAATTGCAGTTATGAAGTATTCGATCATTTAATAAATAATTTAGGACATAAACTAAGACTATTTAAATTTAGAGTTACACTTACTAATTAAATAACTAATTACTACTGCAAACAATAGCTAAATGTGAAATAGAAAATAATGGGATTAAAATTTTCAAACTCAATTTATTCTAAAACCATTGGAAATATCGATTTGGACAAAGATAATATTTTTTAAGTAAAATTGTTGATTACTTCTGTGGAAAGAATTCAAGTTGACCGCCAAAAATGATAAAAAAAAGGCACAAGACCTCTTGTTAAAGTCTGCGAGCACCAAAGAAGGGATTACTGTGAAAGAAATTACTGCGGTGTGGAACAAAGAAACATATATTAACGTACTAAATCAATATTGAATTCAGTTTTTTGTGAAGATAAATGATAGTGATTCAATTTTGCATTTTCTTTGATTTAAAACAACAGTATTCCACAAATTAAGACATTGACGTGGCACAAATCGTAGCTTTATATAACGAAGGATATAGATACAATGACGTGTAAGGAGTCAATTTACAATATTGAACATTTTAAAAAGTTTTCAAGAGTTTTGCATCCAGTGAAGACAACAACTAGTGGCAGTTTTTTTATTCTTAGTTTATTCTTAGTAAGACAATTTAATGTTAATTCAAAACAGTCAGACAATGATCAAAAGAAATAGGGAACAAGAAACCAAAATGGCCAGCCACAGTTCCACGTCTTCTTCAAAATCGTAAATCTCATCGATTAGAATTTGTCAGAAAACATGTTAAGAGAAATATTGAGCATTGGAAAAATATTCTAACACATACATAAAGAGAATATTTTCTCTGAAGACCAGAATGCAATTATGGAATCCAAATGAATGGAACTGCATCTACAGAAGAGTTGGGGAATGTTACACCAGCTGCAATCCCATGCAGAATGTTAGGTTTGGAGTATAATGCGTTGGAGAGGTATTAGTTGAGAGAAATTTGTGATTCGTGGAAGTGACTGGACGAATAACTGACTAAATCAAAACAATCCTGCAAAATCATGTTTTGCTATATATTGGTTGTATGGATATGAAGGATTTGTTTGTAGTCCGTAATCAAACATTAATTTGGCCACCATATTGCCCAGACCTAAATTCAACAGAAATGTGTAGGATCGGCTAAAATGCCACGTATAACGAATAATTCCTGTTACATGAACTAGAGAAGAATAGAATATAATTCCTCAAAAATATATTCAAACTCAATAGAGTACTTAGTGACATCGAGAAATATGTAAGTAGTAATTAGATCTTGAAGAAAAAATACCCGTTACCAACTATACTTTTTTAATCAAAAGCATAGTATTTGCCAACCCAAAAGCATTGCAGTCAAAGTAAATCTCCTTAACTTTTATAACAATTATAATCAATTTTTTTACACAGGGTTCATAGTTCAAAAGTAATAAAGAATTCCCTGACTTTTCCAGGTTTTTCCCGACTTATAAAAAAAAATCCAGGTCACTTTTACATACGAATTGGTGTTTATGCATTAAATTTTTTATCGACTGGACTCCATAATCTTTTTTATACCCTAAGAACCTCTTATAAAGATTTCAAAACCACAAATAGTTTTCTCTTTCAAGAACCCAGGGCCGGCTTTCACAAAATTTCCAGTTGCAAACATCAAATTCCCTGACTTTCATGAATATTTTTAAAATTCCCTGACTATTCCCTGTTTTTTATGAAGAATAACGAATTCCCTGACTTTTCCCGGTATTCCCGGTTTTCCCGGCCGCTACGAACCCTGTATCTGTTTTAATACGCTTTCCACGATGTGAACCAGCTGATTTACATTACGCTGTGATTTTGCCTAACCAGAAAATGACAAC